CTTATGGTACTAAATCAACTAGGAATGGTTAATAAAAATAATAATAATACAAGTAATGTAAGTGAGACAATCATCACTACATGGACAAGAGTTGTACTGCCGTCTGTGTGATTTAGAAGAAAATTTTACCGTCATCGGTCGAGTTCTTTCTTACTCCAAAGAAGTAATACTCTTGAGATTCCTTCAGTGAGTTCAATATGTTCGACAGTTGACGGTCAAGTCCATCTTGTTCCCACGAATAAGCTGTAGGCAGAGCTGTTGAGAGAATATAATGTTGTTGTTATGGTATATTGTCTTAGGTTTTGTTGGGTATACTCAGTGTTGTACAGGAGACAATGGTGTTGGTCCTGCAAGGTAGATAACACAGCAGCTCTTTGTTAACTCTCAACCATACCCAACAATGTCTGTGGACACTTGTTATCAGCCGGGACAGGGAGCCATTTATTTTATACACAGTAATTTCTTTTACCTGTAGTGTATATGTGTCTGCACACAATACAGGTAAAAAAAATAATTGTCCTAAGGGCAAATGTTATTCATGGCCATTTTGAGATCCAAATCCTCACAAATTTTAAGAGCTTGCTGTATTTCATTTACCTGATTTATTGTATTTTATCATTGTATTTGTCTTACATTAAGGTATTTTAGATGTATACTGCTTGCTTACTTACTATTGCTGATAACAATGCTGCCATGTGTGTCTTCAGTATGTGAAGCTCTTTATCTTCTGACTATTTCATACAAGCTTTCCCCACTTGCAGCTTATGGTACTAAATCAACTAGGAATGGTTAATAAAAATAATAATAATACAAGTAATGTAATTGAGACAATCATCACTACATGGACAAGAGTTGTACTGCCGTCTGTGTGATTTCGAAGAAAATTTTACCGTCATCGGTCGAGTTCTTTCTTACTCCAAAGAAGTAATACTCTTGAGATTCCTTCAGTGAGTTCAATATGTTCGACAGTTGACGGTCAAGTCCATCTTGTTCCCACGAATAAGCTGTAGGCAGAGCTGTTGAGAGAATATAATGTTGTTGTTATGGTATATTGTCTTAGGTTCTGTTGGGTATACTCAGTGTTGTACAGGAGACAATGGTGTTGGTCCTGCAAGGTAGATAACACAGCAGCTCTTTGTTAACTCTCAACCATACCCAACAATGTCTGTGGACACTTGTTATCAGCCGGGACAGTGAGCCATTTATTTTATACACAGTAATTTCGTTTACCTGTAGTGTATATGTGTCTGCACACAATACAGGTAAAAAAAAATAGTTGTCCTAAGGGCAAATGTTATTCATGGCCATTTTGAGATCCAAACCCTCACAAATTTTAAGAGCTTGCTGTATTTCATTTACCTGATTTATTGTATTTTATCATTGTATTTGTCTTACATTAAGGTATTTTAGATGTATACAACACTTACTATTACTGATAACAATACCTGCATGTGGTGTCTTCAGTATATTGAAGCTCTTTATCTTTACAGCTATTTCATACAGCTCCCCCACTTTACCAGCTTATGGTATTAAATCAACTAGGAATGGTTAATAAAAATAATAATAATACAAGTAATGTAAGTGAGACAATCATCACTACATGGACAAGAGTTGTACTGCCGTCTGTGTGATTTCGAAGAAAATTTTACCGTCATCGGTCGAGTTCTTTCTTACTCCAAAGAAGTAATACTCTTGAGATTCCTTCAGTGAGTTCAATATGTTCGACAGTTGACGGTCAAGTCCATCTTGTTCCCACGAATAAGCTGTAGGCAGAGCTGTTGAGAGAATATAATGTTATGGTATATTGTCTTAGGTTCTGTTGGGTATACTCAGTATTGTACAGGAGACAATGGTGTTGGTCCTGCAAGGTAGATAACACAGCAGCTCTTTGTTAACTCTCAACCATACCCAACAATGTCTGTGGACACTTGTTATCAGCCGGGACAGGGAGCCATTTATTTTATACACAGTAATTTCTTTTACCTGTAGTGTATATGTGTCTGCACACAATACGGGTAAAAAAAAATAATTGTCCTAAGGGCAAATGTTATTCATGGCCATTTGAGATCAAACCCTCACAAATTTAAGAGCTTGCTGTATTTCATTTACCTGATTTATTGCCTTTATCATTATTATTTGTCTTACATTAAAATTATTTTAGATGTATACAACACTTACTGTACTGATAATACCTGCATGTAGTGTCTTCAGTATGTGTGAAGCTCCTTTATCTTTACAACTATTCCATACAGCTCCCCACTTTGCAACTTATGAGTACTAAATCCTTTAGGAATGGTTAATAAAATAATAATAATACAAGTAATGTAAGTGAGACAATCATCACTACATGGACAAGAGTTGTACTGCCGTCTGTGTGATTTCGAAGAAAATTTTACCGTCATCGGTCGAGTTCTTTCTTACTCCAAAGAAGTAATACTCTTGAGATTCCTTCAGTGAGTTCAATATGTTCGACAGTTGACGGTCAAGTCCATCTTGTTCCCACGAATAAGCTGTAGGCAGAGCTGTTGAGAGAATATAATGTTGTTGTTATGGTATATTGTCTTAGGTTCTGTTGGGTATACTCAGTGTTGTACAGGAGACAATGGTGTTGGTCCTGCAAGGTAGATAACACAGCAGCTCTTTGTTAACTCTCAACCATACCCAACAATGTCTGTGGACACTTTTTATCAGCCGGGACAGGGAGCCATTTATTTTATACACAGTAATTTCTTTTACCTGTAGTGTATATGTGTCTGCACACAATACAGGTAAAAAAATAATTATCCCTAAGGGCAAATAGCTTATTCTTGGCCATTTTGAGATCCAAGCCCTCTACAAATTTTAAGAGCTTGCTACATATTTCATTTACCTGATTTGTATATTTTACCTCAATGTATTTGTCATTAAAAGGTATTTAGATGCTTATACAACACTTACTATACTGATAACAATACTGCATATCTTCAGTATAATAAGGCTCTTTATCTTTAGCTATTTCATACAGCTCCCCCACTTTGCCAGCTTGTGGTACTAAATCAACTAGGAATGGTTAATAAAAATAATAATAATACAAGTAATATAAGTGGACAATCATCACTACATGGACAAGAGTTGTACTGCCGTCTGTGTGATTTCGAAGAAAATTTTACCGTCATCGGTCGAGTTCTTTCTTACTCCAAAGAAGTAATACTCTTGAGATTCCTTCAGTGAGTTCAATATGTTCTACAGTTGACGGTCAAGTCCATCTTGTTCCCACGAATAAGCTGTAGGCAGAGCTGTTGAGAGAATATAATATTGTTGTTATGGTATATTGTCTTAGGTTCTGTTGGGTATACTCAGTGTTGTACAGGAGACAATGGTGTTGATCCTGCAAGGTAGATAACACAGCAGCTCTTTGTTAACTCTCAACCATACCCAACAATGTCTGTGGACACTTGTTATCAGCCGGGACAGGGAGCCATTTATTTTATACACAGTAATTTCTTTTACCTGTAGTGTATATGTGTCTGCACACAATACAGGTAAAAAAAATAGTTGTCCTAAGGGCAAATGTTATTCATGGCCATTTTGAGATCCAAACCCTCACAAATTTTAAGAGCTTGCTGTATTTCATTTACCTGATTTATTGTATTTTATCATTGTATTTGTCTTACATTAAGGTATTTTAGATGTATACAACACTTACTATTACTGATAACAATACCTGCATGTGGTGTCTTCAGTATATTGAAGCTCTTTATCTTTACAGCTATTTCATACAGCTCCCCCACTTTACCAGCTTATGGTACTAAATCAACTAGGAATGGTTAATAAAAATAATAATAATACAAGTAATGTAATTGAGACAATCATCACTACATGGACAAGAGTTGTACTGCCGTCTGTGTGATTTCGAAGAAAATTTTACCGTCATCGGTCGAGTTCTTTCTTACTCCAAAGAAGTAATACTCTTGAGATTCCTTCTGTGAGTTCAATATGTTCGACAGTTGACGGTCAAGTCCATCTTGTTCCCACGAATAAGCTGTAGGCAGAGCTGTTGAGAGAATATAATGTTATGGTATATTGTCTTAGGTTCTGTTGGGTATACTCAGTGTTGTACAGGAGACAATGGTGTTGGTCCTGCAAGGTAGATAACACAGCAGCTCTTTGTTAACTCTCAACCATACCCAACAATGTCTGTGGACACTTGTTATCAGCCGGGACAGGGAGCCATTTATTTTATACACAGTAATTTCTTTTACCTGTAGTGTATATGTGTGCACACAATACAGGTAAAAAAAAATAATTGTCCTGAGGGCAAATGTTATTCATGGCCATTTTGAGATCCAAACCCTCACAAATTTTAAGAGCTTGCTGTATTTCATTTACCTGATTTATTGTATTTTATCATTGTATTTGTCTTACATTAAGGTATTTTAGATGTATACAACACTTACTATTACTGATAACAATACCTGCATGTGGTGTCTTCAGTATATTGAAGCTCTTTATCTTTACAGCTTTTTCATACAGCTCCCCCACTTTACCAGCTTATGGTACTAAATCAACTAGGAATGGTTAATAAAAATAAAAATAATACAAGTAATGTAAGTGAGACAATCATCACTACATGGACAAGAGTTGTACTGCCGTCTGTGTGATTTCGAAGAAAATTTGTCATCCAGTCGATTCTCTTACTCAAAATGTATACAAATTCCTTCAGAGTTCAATATGTTGGAAGTTGACGGTCAAGTCCAATCTTATTTCCTGTGAATAAGCTGTAGGCAGAGCTGTTGAGAGAATATAATGTTGTTGTTATGGTATATTGTCTTAGGTTCTGTTGGGTATACTCAGTGTTGTACAGGAGACAATGGTGTTGGTCCTGCAAGGTAGATAACACAGCCGCTCTTTGTTAACTCTCAACCATACCCAACAATGTCTGTGGACACTTATTATCAGCCGGGACAGGGAGCCATTTATTTTATACACAGTAATTTCTGTTACCTGTAGTGTATATGTGTGTGCACACAATACAGGTAAAAAAAAATAATTGTCCTAAGGGCAAATGTTAATCATGGCCATTTTGAGATCCAAACCCTCACAAATTTTAAGAGCTTGCTGTATTTCATTTACCTGATTTATTGTATTTTATCATTGTATTTGTCTTACATTAAGGTATTTTAGATGTATACAACACTTGCATACTGATAACAATACCTGCATGTGAATATAATGAGTATATTGAGCTCTTTATCTTTACAGCTATTTCACCACAGCTCCCCCTTTACCAGCTTATGGTACTTCACAAATCAACTAGGAATAGTTATTAAAATAATAATAATACTGATAATGTAAAGTGAGATAGTATCCTACATGGATTAAAATTGTGCTGCCGTCTGTGTGTTCAGAAAATTTTTACCGTCATCGTTAGGTTCTCCTCCAAAAGGAAGTAATACTCTTAGAGATTCATCAGTGGATTCAATATGACCGACAGTTGACGGTCAAGTCCATCTTGTTCCCACGAATAAGCTGTAGGCAGAGCTGTTGAGAGAATATAATGTTGTTGTTATGGTATATTGTCTTAGGTTCTGTTGGGTATACTCAGTGTTGTACAGGAGACAATGGTGTTGGTCCTGCAAGGTAGATGACACAGCAGCTCTTTGTTAACTCTCAACCATACCCAACAATGTCTGTGGACACTTGTTATCAGCCGGGACAGGGAGCCATTTATTTTATACACAGTAATTTCTTTTACCTGTAGTGTATATGTGTCTACACAATACAGAGTAAAAAAAATAAGATTATCCTAAGACAAATGTTATTCTTGGCATTTGGGATCCAAACCACTCATAAATTTAAGGCTGCTGTATTTCATTTACACAGTTGTTGTATTTTATCATTTGTGTTTGTCTTTACATTAAGGTATTTTAGTGTATACAACACTTACTATTATGATATAATACCTGCATGTGGTGTCTTCAGTATATTGAAGCTCTTTATCTTTACAGCTATTTCATACAGCTCCCCCACTTTACCAGCTTATGGTACTAAATCAACTAGGAATGGTTAATAAAAATAAAAATAATACAAGTAATGTAAGTGAGACAATCATCACTACATGGACAAGAGTTGTACTGCCGTCTGTGTGATTTCGAAGAAAATTTTACCGTCATCGGTCGAGTTCTTTCTTACTCCAAAGAAGTAATACTCTTGAGATTCCTTCAGCGAGTTCAATATGTTCGACAGTTGACGGTCAAGTCCATCTTGTTCCCACGAATAAGCTGTAGGCAGAGCTGTTGAGAGAATATAATGTTGTTGTTATGGTATATTGTCTTAGGTTCTGTTGGGTATACTCAGTGTTATACAGAGACTCTTATGTGTTGGTCACTGCATAGTGGTACACAGCAGCTCTTTTGGTATCTCTAACCATACCCAACAATGTCTGTGGATTGCTTATTATCAGCAGGACGAGGCCATTTATTTATACAGTAATTTCTTTTACCTGCTTAGTGTATGTGTGTCTTGCACACAATACAGGTAAAAATAAAGATTGTCCTAAGGGCAAATGTTATTCATGGCCATTTTGAGATCCAAACCTCACAAATTTTAAGAGCTTGCTGTATTTCATTTACCTGATTTATTGTATTTTATCATTGTATTTGTCTTACATTAAGGTATTTTAGATGTATACAACACTTACTATTACTGATAACAATACCTGCATGTGGTGTCTTCAGTATATTGAAGCTCTTTATCTTTACAGCTATTTCATACAGCTCCCCCACTTTACCAGCTTATGGTACTAAATCAACTAGGAATGGTTAATAAAAATAATAATAATACAAGTAATGTAAGTGAGACAATCATCACTACATGGACAAGAGTTGTACTGCCGTCTGTGTGATTTCGAAGAAAATTTTACCGTCATCGGTCGAGTTCTTTCTTACTCCAAAGAAGTAATACTCTTGAGATTCCTTCAGTGAGTTCAATATGTTCGACAGTTGACGGTCAAGTCCATCTTGTTCCCACGAATAAGCTGTAGGCAGAGCTGTTGAGAGAATATAATGTTGTTATGGTATATTGTCTTAGGTTCTGTTGGGTATACTCAGTGTTGTACAGGAGACAATGGTGTTGGTCCTGCAAGGTAGATAACACAGCAGCTCTTTGTTAACTCTCAACCATACCCAACAATGTCTGTGGACACTTGTTATCAGCCGGGACAGGGAGCCATTTATTTTATACACAGTAATTTCTTTTACCTGTAGTGTATATGTGTCTGCACACAATACAGGTAAAAAAAAATAATTGTCCTAAGGGCAAATGTTATTCATGGCCATTTTGAGATCCAAACCCTCACAAATTTTAAGAGCTTGCTGTATTTCATTTACCTGATTTATTGTATTTTATCATTGTATTTGTCTTACATTAAGGTATTTTAGATGTATACAACACTTACTATTACTGATAACAATACCTGCATGTGGTGTCTTCAGTATATTGAAGCTCTTTATCTTTACAGCTATTTCATACAGCTCCCCCACTTTACCAGCTTATGGTACTAAATCAACTAGGAATGGTTAATAAAAATAATAATAATACAAGTAATGTAAGTGAGACAATCATCACTACATGGACAAGAGTTGTACTGCCGTCTGTGTGATTTCGAAGAAAATTTTACCGTCATCGGTCGAGTTCTTTCTTACTCCAAAGAAGTAATACTCTTGAGATTCCTTCAGTGAGTTCAATATGTTCGACAGTTGACGGTCAAGTCCATCTTGTTCCCACGAATAAGCTGTAGGCAGAGCTGTTGAGAGAATATAATGTTGTTATGGTATATTGTCTTAGGTTCTGTTGGGTATACTCAGTGTTGTACAGGAGACAATGGTGTTGGTCCTGCAAGGTAGATAACACAGCAGCTCTTTGTTAACTCTCAACCATACCCAACAATGTCTGTGGACACTTGTTATCAGCCGGGACAGGGAGCCATTTATTTTATACACAGTAATTTCTTTTACCTGTAGTGTATATGTGTCTGCACACAATACAGGTAAAAAAAATAATTGTCCTAAGGGCAAATGTTATTCATGGCCATTTTGAGATCCAAACCCTCACAAATTTTAAGAGCTTGCTGTATTTCATTTACCTGATTTATTGTATTTTATCATTGTATTTGTCTTACATTAAGGTATTTTAGATGTATACAACACTTACTATTACTGATAACAATACCTGCATGTGGTGTC